CGCCGCGTGAAGGCTAGTCGATAGGGGGGGGGTGTGAACTCCGGATTTCACCAGGATTGACCTGTGAAACCGTTGGGTTGGGGAGGTACTTGGGTTGGTATAGCAATTGCACATCTAGCAACGCTATACCTCCCGAGGGGGGGGAAAATTAAGGGCGCGTACCATACACAGCACTTGGAAATTTGAAAATTGATTTTGGGGTGTTTTTTTTTGCGCTTTTTTTAAAACGGAATCAGAAACTGCTGGGTCTGGAAACATGTACCATGATACAGCTATTCCTGACCGCTGTCTTCTTCTCCATCTCATCACTCCTGCACGCCTTTGCATTGGCCTCAGCCAATTCCATCTCCATCTCATCACTCCTTGACGCTCAGCCAATTCCATCTCCATCTCATCACTCCTTGACGCTCAGCCAATTCCATCTCCATCTCATCACTCCTCGACGGTGTAGGACTCCTGGGACGGATAGACACGGTAAAGTATATGTATATCAAAAGATCCCTTGAGGGGGAAATAAATTGCAAATAGGTTGAAAGGCTATTACAACTTACGGGTGGTTTGAAAGACCTGCCCCTCTAAATGTACTAAAAAAATAACTAAGAGTCTTGTAATCAATATTTAATAATGTATGGCTGATTCCAAGATAGATCTTACTTTTGTAAAGTAATCTCTATCAGACCTAGATCACTTTTCAATCTACTAATGAATCTGTTACAACTTCAGGTTAATAATGGAAACTGAGGTGCTGATGACTTGAGCACGAAACAGATGATTTGTTATAGAGGTTGTTAATGATCTCTTCCTCAAACAATTTCTTGCTAAGGCACTTAATCAAAAAACTAGAGCTCTGGTACTAATACTACTACTACTTGTTATTGGTTAATTGTTAATGTACTACTACTTATATGATGACTACTACTACTAATATGCTTCAAATTCCGAACTCTGTGTTGATTTCTTACTCACTATGCTGTTGTAACTTGCTACGTATCACTAACTAACTCACTACTTAACTCACTAACTAACTATGACCAACTTACCGCAGTAGGATGATGTACTAACTTCACTAAATAACTAACTATCACCAATTCTGACTCTTTCACTTTACTGACACTCCAGAACACTTCCAGTAGCTCAGGACCA